AGTAGTAGTAGGAGTAGTAGTACGAGTAGTAGCCGTAGTAGTAGCAATCGTAGCAGTAATAGTAACAGGAAAGGGGGGAAGAAAGGTAGCGGAAGCAACCAGAGTAATAGTGGTGGTAGTCGTGGTTATAACGATGGTCATGGTGGCGGGGTAGTAACACAAAAAGGTAGAATTGGTGGCAGCGGTAGTAATAATAGCGGTGGCGCTCATACTGGTAGTAGTCGTAGTAATAATAAGTATAATACTACAAGCAGTGATAGTAGAAGAAGTATCAGTAATAGTAGTCATACACGTAGTAGTTGTAGTACTGATAGTAGTAGTAGTAGTAGTAGTAGTAGTAGTAGTAGTAGTAGTAGTAGTAGTAGTGGTCGTAGTAGTAGTAGTAGTAGTAGTAGTAGTAGTAGTAGTAGTAGTAGCATTAGTAGTAGTAGTACTAGTACTAGTGTTAGTACGAGTACTAGTAGTAGTAATAGTAGTAGTAGTAGTAATAGTAGTAACAGTAACAGTAACAGTAATAGTAATAGTAATATTAATGGTAATAGTAATAGTAATAGCAATAGTGATAGTAATAGTAATAGTAATAGTAATAGTAATAGTAATAGTAATAGTAATAGTAATAGTAATAGTAATAGTAATAGTAATAGTACTAGTAATAGTAATGGTAATAATAATAGTACTAGTACTAGTAATAGTAATAGTAATAGTAATAGTAATAGTAATAGTAATAGTAATAGTAATAGTAATAGTAATAGTAATATTATTAATAATAGTAATAGTAAAAGTAACGATAATAATAGTGATAGTAATAGTAATAGTAATAGTAGCAGTAGTAGTAGTAGTAGTAGTAGTAGTAGTAATAGTAGTAGTCGTAGAAGTAGTATATATATATAAATAATAAAAAAAAAAAAAAAAAAAAAAAAAATGGTTAAAATAGTCGCGGTAGTACTAGTGGTACTAGCCGTAGTAGAAGTCATACGATTAGTGGTCGTAGCGGCGGTGCGCACATACATAAAATAGGTATGCGGGGTTCCTCGGTAGTGTAATGCGTTGTTTGGACATTCGATTGTGCGATCCCCAAGCAACCCAAGGTTGTTGAAGGATTGCCGCACGCGCGCGCAACAACGCGCGCGTGCGCACTTCGCCCCACTTGCGCAAGGGATCATTGAAAACTGTCGGTTCTTGGTAAACGAGCGCGCGCGCATCACATGTTTTAAACGGACGGCGGGCGGGAGCGAAGACCGCCCCTCCAGGGATGATGCGGATTCATATTCAGGATGGACGACGCGGTAGAATCATGACTCAATTGCACTACGCGAGGCCGAAGTGATAAGTCAAGGGGAGGGAGTAATAAGAAAGGAGGACTCACCTTGCCGAACTTGAAGTTGTCGACTCCACTGCACGCGCAACCATCCCACCCACCCACCCACCCACAACTTGGATTGCTAAATCAACGCGGCGGCAATTGCGATGAGTGCTTGGCGTTGGCTGGCGCATCTCTGCGGCCACGCTGGCCCGCGCATGCTCGCGCGCGCAGCGGCCAAATACTTCGGAGCGACCGACGCGGCCGCGGCGGCGCTGACCACTCGGCACATCCCAGCGGGCACTGCAGTGCAAGTCGGCGAGTTGGGCGGGCGCGCATCATGGCAACGTCGACAAAGGTAGAAACGATCACGATAGTAGCGATGTTCGCGACGATGCTAATTAACAGCGACGGCGGCGCGGCCAGTGACGGCGCGAATGCTGATCACGCAGGCGACGACGACGGCGTCTTCGCGTCGGCGAGGAAGGTTTTGGCTGGAGTTCGACACGCGCGCGCGGCCCGCGCGCGAGTGGCCGCGCGAGACTTTTTGACGCAGATCGTGCTTCCCCCCCCCCCCCCCCCCGCCCCCACCGCGCACGCCAGGGCGTTCGAGTGCTTTCGGCACGCGGCGCGACAGGCCCGCTTGGCAGTTCAGTGGCAACGTTTTAAAATCCGACGGTTGCCTTTAGGGTTCGCAAGGGCGCGCGCGCGAGCATTTTTTTTTTTTTTGAAACCTGACGTCGCGAGACCATTTGCTTCTTCATGGCTTCGCGACGCGCGGCTTTGAAACACTCGCAAAAAACAAAAAGAAACGAAAGTTTTTTGACGGATCTCGGAATGCGCGCGACGACACTCGCGCGCGCACTTCGTTTTATTGCGCGCAAAAGGTTCCTGCGACAGCGCGCGGGGGCAAGGGCGTTCGAACGATTCTGACACGCGCGCGAAGCCCCTTTTTTCTAGCATGCTCTGAAATTCGCATCAACAAAACCTGAAAGTATTGTTGAAAATTCGCAAGAGCGCGCGCGCAGGCTTTTTTGAAAACACGCGTTTCGAAACCATGTTCTAACATGTTGTTTTGACGCTCGATTTTGAAATCCTTGCGGCACCGATGGTTTGTCCAAAGACTTCGGCACGCGCGCGCGACGACGCGCGCGCGTGCACCTCGCCCCGTCCGTTGCCGGGGATTGTTGCCAACTGCTGGTCCTATCTTTTTATATACATACACAATAGAAAAATGCACGCGCAATGTCATTTCTGCAGGGGGTGGAGGGGGGGCGGATACTAGCGCCCCTGAGATGGTGCGACTTCCCATTTTGGATGGGCGATGGGGCATAACCATACGCAAATTGCAATACGAAATAGTGAATGGATAATCCCGGGAGGGGTTGGGATAGAGTCTATATCTACTTTAGAGAAGAAAAAATTCTGTTCGCGGCGAATTGCCCACCCACTGCTCGCGCAAACATCCCAACCACCCACCCGCCACTTGGCTTGCAAAACCCATGCGGCGGCGATTGCGACGAGCGCATGGCGCTGGCTGGTGCATCTCTGCGGCCGCGCCAGCCCGCGCATGCTCGCGCGCGCAGCGGCCAGCTGGTTTGGCGCGACCGACGCGGCCGCGGTGGCGCTGGCCGCTCGGCACGCCCCAGCGGGCACTGCAGTGCAAGTCGCCGACTTGGGCGGGCACGGCATCATGGCAACGTCGACAACGGTTGCACGACGATGATAGTAGCGATGCTCGCGACAACGCTGACAGCGACGACGGCACGGCCAGCGACGGCTCCGATGATGATCACGCCGACGACGACGACGGCGCCCTCGCGTCGGCGACGATGGTTTTGGGAGGGGTTCGACATGCGCGCGCGGCCAGCGCGCCAGAGTGGACGCAAGGTGCTATTTGACACGGATCGCGCACCCCCCCCCCCCCAGCACGCGCGCAATGGCGTTCGAATGACTCCGGTATGCGGCGCGAGAGGCCCGTTTGGCAGAATTCAATGTCAATGTTGAAAACCTATGGCTTTCTTCGGAAATCGCGGGGGGCGAGCGCAAACTGTTTTGAAAACTGTTCTTACAAAACCATAGGTTTTTTTGTTTCAATGGTTTCGCGACACGCAGTTTTGAAATAAGTGCGAAACCCCCGGGTTTTGACAGATTTCGGCATGCGCACGCAACGACGCGCGCGCGCGCGTACGCCGCCCCACTGGTTGCAGAGGATTCTCGCGACGGCGCGCGCGCAAAGGCGTTCGAACGATTTCGACGCGCGCGCGCGATGCCCGCTTGGCAGCAGTTTCTGCACACGCTGAACAATTCATGCTGTTTTTATAAATATATATATATACACACACACATCGCAAAAGCGCGCAAGCTTATTTGAAAATCCGCGCTGCGAAACCATGCCCTTATAAGTTACTTAAACACTCGGTTTTGAAAACCGTGCGAAACCTAAAGTGTTTGAAAGATTTCGACACGCGCGTGCACTTCGTCCTATTTGTCGCATGGGATGCTTGAAAGCTGCTGATGTTTGATAAACGAGCGCGCGCATAATAAGTTCTGCAAGGGATGGCGGGGGCGCAGATACCGGCCCCCCTGGAATTGTGCGAATTCATATTCAAGACGGCCGATGGGGTAGAATCACGTGTAAATGGCAATACAATAGAGTGAAAGCATAATCCCGGCGGGGGCGAGGGGTAGAATCATCAGTTTGGGGAGGGAGAAATAATTTCAATGAGTTGCCCACTCCACTGCTCGCGCAAACACCCCACCCACCCACCCGCAACTTGGTTTGCAAAACCAATGCGGCTGCGATTGCGATGAGTGCTCGGCGCTGGCTGGCGCATCTCCGCAGCCGCGCCAGCCCGCGCACGCGCGCGCGCAGCGGCCAGCTGGTTTGGCGCGACCGACGCGGCCGCGGCGGCGCTGACCGCCGGGCACATCCCGGCGGGCACTCCAGTGCGAGTCGGTGACTTGGGCGGGCGCGGCACCATGGCGGCGTCGACAACGGTGGACACGACGATGATAGTAGCGATGCGGGCGGCGATGCTGACACCGACGACGGCACGGCCAGCAACGGCTCCATTGCTGATCACGCCGACGCCGATGAGGGAGTCAATGCGTCGGCGATGAAGGTTTTGGGAGGAGCTCGACACGCGCGCGCGCGGCCGACGCGCGACAGCGGCCTCGCGGCACGATCCAACGCGTCGCCCGCCCCCCCCCCCCCCCCCCCCCCCCCTGAATGCAACGCAGAAGTTTGATGTTTCACATTCGTCCATACCCCTGCTGCCGCTGCGACTGCGCATCTGCCGCGCCCGCGCCGCCGCCCATTCGCTTCCAGGTTAGTGGGCGGGCGGGCAACACTTATGCTGCACAGCTGAGTTCAGCTGAAGCTCGCGACGTCTGGCCGCGAGTGGATATATTACGTGGAGGGCACGAGGTACCCTGCAGAACCTGCGTGGAAAGATATCAGATCTTGCATTCTCAAGCGTTGGACCAAGGAGCGAGGTCACATCACCAGCGCGATTGAGGACCTCTCGAGGCTCTGCGGGATTCAGATTGGTAGCAGACCCCGCGGCTGTCAGACCACGGGCCCCCACCAGTCTCGGCGCGACGCTGTCTTCGCCGGGGGCCGCGACGCCCGCTCGAGGAGGTCCCATCCTGGAATGGCGAAGCATACAAGCTATCATGCTATCGCTTCGAGGTTTCGATGCTCGTGAAGAGCATCTGGCTGGGCGATCGCTACATATATGGGCCGCAGCTGGCGCGGGCCCTGGGGCCTCGGGTCCGCAACGCCGCGGAGGGCTGCCCCGCGATCGACGGCGCGGATCGAGTTGACGACGACGGCAGACTGGTCGGTTGGGAGGGCGTCTTTGATCACGCGCTGGAGAAGCTAGACTACACGAGCCGAAAGGACACAGGCCTGCTGGCGGAGGAGTTCTTTTTGAAGATCGGTCGCATCTCGGGCGAGACCTTCCAAGACTGGGCCGCCAGGTTCGAGAAGCATGACGGGGAGTTGCCGACGCAACTCCAGGCGATCGACGCCGACGTCAAGGAAGTGATTGCGAAGCCACTACGCACCTGGCGGCTCCTTTAGAAGTCCCGGCTCACTCCCATACTTCGAGGAGAAATTACGGCGACGGCAGACGGGGACTTCAACTCTGCGAAGACCAACAAAACGTTGCTCACGCGCTTCCTGGCGGAGGCCTCGGCAGAGCTCGACGGCAAGACGAAGCGCGAGCGGGCCACGTTCGAGAACGATGCCGGGGACGACGAGTACGAGACTGGTGGAGAAGCCGACGAAATCTACGAGATGGTCGAGCAGCTCATTAAACTCGCTGAGGAGAACGATGACGAGGACGAGCCTGTCGACCTTGACGCGGACAACGAGGCGTTCGCTCAGTTTCGCCAGGCTGGAATGATGCCCAGAGATGCTCGAGATTTACTTCGGCAAGTACGGGTGGCGAAGGACTACTACCCAGTCGGGGCCCCTAGGGACGAGGTCGCGGAGGAGCGGTTCGCGCTGCCACCGCGGCCCCACGCGGAAGGACGGCCACGCGGACAAGCCAAAGGGCGCGGACGTGGACAACAGGATCGGCGAGTACGCTTCGAAGGGACGCGTGACCTGAGCAAGATGAAGTGCATCGTCTGCAGGCAGGTCGGCCACAGGGCCCGGGACTGTCCCGAGCGCAACAGAGTCGAGAACCACGCCGGCGGGAACACCAGGACCACGCACAATGGCTTCATCCTGTCGGCGCTGGACGAGTACGTGTACCTGCTGGAGCGGGATGGCATCTGGGCCGCGTTGGACATAGGCGCGACGCGGAGCCTCGGCGGCCTCGAAACCGCGGAGAACCTGATGTACGAGAAGCTGGCCAACCACGACGTGGAATTCGAAGCCCACGACGACATCTGCTCCTTCACGTTCGGGGACGGCCTACAGAAGAGTTCGATGGGATCAGTACCTGGTCAGGCCTTCCTGGGCCCCAAGCTGAGCACCAGCCTCTCCGCGATGGCGAACCGCGTGCCTATCCTGCTGGGCATAGACATCCTGACCGACGACCCGAAAGTGGTGGTCGACTGCGGACGGAATTGGCTCGGGCTCCCAACTCTCGGAAGCAAGGTCTAACTATTGCGAGCGCCTCACTAGCAAGCACCTGGCGATCAACCTGTCGACGCCACAGTGGTGGCGGGAGGTGCCGACCCCATTGACGCTGGGGGACTGCCAGGCGGTCACGGTGGCGCAAGAATCGATCGTACCGGACGAGAAGTCGGAGAAGCCCGTAACGGGCTGCGCTGGCTGCTGGGCTGGGCACTAGGGACAGCGCCCTCTGGTGATGGCGGCGCGTGAGACATCATCTCCATCGCCATCTACATCATCGGGGGGCCAAGAGAGAAAGAGAGCGGAGCCCCAGAAATTTCGGAGACTACGAGCGAAAGCATCGACCAAACCATCTCGAGGGATCCGAGCAGACCGAATATTCCGAGCAGTACAAGCTCGACGCGATTATCGACCAAGAGAAGACCGACACTGCCGAAACGACCAAACAGTCCGAGCCCCTCGAAAACGTCGATTTCGGGGAGCACCAGATCGGGACCACCTTCGAGGACCTCAGAGGCACCGAAGATCACCAGGACAAGAACGCGTTCGGGGGACACGTCCAGACCTCCGGGGATGCCCTCTCGTGGACCTGAGAAGAATACGAACACAAATCTCTGCATGACAGCCCACAATGGAAAACGAGAAACGACGAAACTTTTGGGAATGTCTGGGGGGTCAGGTCTGTAGGGGAGCCCGCAGGGGCGTCGGGAGGGCCGTCTTAGTCGCTCGTCGCCGTGGCTCTTGATTCGCCCATTTCCGCGTCAACGTGCTCTTGGTGCGCGAAATGTCTGGTCCAGATTTCCGTTGCACCGAGGGCGCAGCATGACTTCCATCTAAAACTTCAAATTCTGAGGTCGTCTCCCACGGTTCCATTGCAAACGGCAGCCTAACACGTCTGGGCAAAGGCCGAAATCGACTTGCGTAAACTAGCTTAAAAGTTATGCGAAAAAAACAAGAACGACGCACCTGATGAGATGGGACTCTCAAACGGGCCTGCGCTAACACACTGGCAAATCATTGGGCAAACCAACGCCCGTCGAGCACAGCCGCGTTCACGACCAGACAAGGCAGCCTACAACAGGTCCGCGTTTCCGCGACACGTTGTCGGGCGCCAGCGGTGCGAACCCCGCGGCCGTAGGGCAATAACTGAGAGGACAGCCTGACGTCGATGTCTCTGCGCAAAGCGGCCCAAGGCTGCCGCGCGCGCGGCGGCGCAGAGGCTGCCCCCCTTGCATTCCTCCACGCGCAACGGCTTAACGCCTGCGTTTTCCGCGGGGGGCGGCCCGGCGCCTCCGCGCGCGCGGCGGCGCAGGGGCCGCCACACACGGCTGAGGAACAAGTTTCGGAAACTTGCTACTCAGCCGTGTGCGGCTTCAAGTCGCTGTGGAGGGATCCTCATGGACCCCACTGCGTCTCAAATTTCTCATCCCACATATTCGTGCTCGGCGGATGCCATGTGGCGAATCCTCTTCGGGACCGCCGTCGGGGCCGCCACCACCTGCGGCGCGACCGCCATGGGCCTGCCCACGGACACGTGCTGCGCCACCAACAGCGACATCAGCCGCGTCTCATACGACTCCAATGTCGTCGCCAATGACACCGACTTCGGTACCTTCATCGCCTCCGATCCTGATGCCGATCAACAGTCCGGCAGGATCACCGTTGACGTACAGCCCAGCGGGGAGGTGTTCGTGCTACGGAGCAGTGGGAAGGACCAAGGGAGGGTGCAGCTGCAGCGGCGGACGGAGTCACTACTGCCTTCGCCTCCAGGCACAGTTCGGACCGCATGCTGCATGGCCACCAACAGCTGCACCAATAGCGACACCAGCCAGCCCGCCGGTGGCATACTTCGTCACGGACATCACTCCGATGCCAGCACCGTGCAGTCCAGTACCGCCGCCACCTGCGGGACCACCACCGGTCGCCCCGAGGTCGAGGTGCTCCCATTGCGGAGCACCCAATCGGACAAAGAAGGGATGCAGCTGCTGCGGCGGGAAGAGCCAACAGTGCCTCAAGACGGAGCCGATCAGCGAGGCGCTCGGGGACATCCGGAGCCAGGCCGTCGCAATGAAGTGGAGGCGCCTGGCCACCAAGCTCGCCAAGCGTAGCGGGACCCGGAGGGCCCCTGGGATTTCCTGCCGACTCAGGACGACAGCATGTTGGACGACTCGGAGGTGACAGAGGCGCTGAAGAAACGGGACCGAGGGTGCTGGAGAAGATCTACATGGAGATCGGGGACGACACAGTCAATCTGACCGAGACCATGCGTGCAGACCTTGTAGAGGTATGCTGCCCGGAAGCCTCCACTCTAGAACAATCTATCGAAGCACAGGGAGGCACCGTGGTTCGCTGCGGACTCTTCAACGGCTACGACATGGCGACGGCTACGGGCGTGCGCAGGGCAGTTCATCTCCTACGGCTAGCTCGACCCAGACGACTGGTTCTCAGCCCACCCTGCACCGCGGATTGTCCTATACAGAACCTTAAAAGAGCGAGTCCCAGAAGAAGCTACTAGCCAACAAGATCCGACAGGCTCGACGAATGCAGCTCGGATGTCTCACCCTCTACGAGGAAGCCAAGAAGATCACCGACTGTCACACTGAGCTCGAGCAGCCCTGGAACAGCAGAAGCTGGTCCAAGTCACCATCCATCAAGAAGATGCACGAGGAAATTCACGAGACGATCATTCATGGATATGCCTACGGTCTACGAGATGACAGGACAGGTCTCCTTATCAAGAAGGCGTGGCGCATCTGTTCCACCGACCCGGAGTTCGGATCAAAGGTCAGCCGCCTCTGCTCGAACCGACCTGGACGAGGAGATAACCACCTCCACCGCACCATCGAGGACGGGCCGCTGGTCGCACAGACCGCCTTCTATCCCCCTGCGATGTGCAAGGCCTGGGCGAAACACGTCATGAAGAAGAACTTCAAAGCCCACTACGGGAAGGAGATCTTCGCCGGCCTCGAGCAGATCCCGGAGGAAGAGGACATCGAGATGCTGGAGGAACAGGAGGAGCTGCTGAAGGGAAAGACGAGGACATTGACATGGAGGCGGCCGAGGCGAAGATCAAGGGCCTGGGCATCCAGTCCGAGCTGAGCAAGAAGGAGACCTCCGAGATCGAGCAGCGACTGGCGCGACTACATCGGAACCTCGGCCATCCCAGCAACAAGACATTCTACAAGATCCTGAAGGCGTCTGGAGCCGCACTTCCAGTCCTTCGCCTAGCTCTCCAGTTCCAGTGCCAGGGGCGCAACATTGGGAGTTGCTTAAAAAAAGCGGTTCGTGTGGCCTCAGGGGTGGAAATACCTGCTGTACTGGAAGTACTTGCCACCGACGGGCTCGAATGGCTCTCGCCACCACAAACTTCACACATCATGACGCTCAATCTCGACGAGGGGTCGGGCCTCACCAGCGCGACCTACCATGGGCAGAAGGGCGACCGTAGCGGGAACCGCTCAGCAATGGAAGTGATCGCAACATGAGAATCTTGGCGCAGCCACTACCGACGATCGTCACTACTACGCATGGACCCCGAAGGATGCCACTGCTCCCAAGCGATGGCCAAGTGGGCCTCCAATCACGGGATCGAGATCTGGGTCGCCCCAGGAGAAGCTCACTGGCTAATGGGCAAGGTGGAGCGCCGCATTCAACTGTTCAAGAGGTTGATGACCGAGCTCGCCACCGTCGATCTGGATTGCTCGGTCCCGGAACTGGTGACCTGGGCCGTGAGTGCCATCGACTCCCTGGACAAGGTCGGGAACCATTCGCCGTTCGAGCACGTCCTGTGCGTCACTGGAATGCCAGCTTCCAGCAACCCCTTCGCCATCATCGACGGGGACACCGGCGAGACCCAAGGGCAACGGCGACTGCTGGCACGCAAGAGCTACCTCGAGTGCGAGCACGCAGGGCGCTGGCGTGATGCTGAGCATGCTCGCAATCGCGTCTTCCAGTCTTGGGAGGCCGAAGACTTGGTGCATTGCTGGCGAGAAGGCAAGGGGCGTGAGAACCGACCTGGAAAGAAAGGAGGCTGGCATGGACCAGCCCGGGTCCTCATCCAGGAGAAGCGCCACATCGACGGCCGCACGCGCGTGACATCTGTCGCGTGGGTAGCGCACGGCAACACCCTCCCCCGCTGCGCCCCAGAACAACTTCGACCAGCCTCCGAGGCCGAGAAGATGATTACTGAGCTACAGAAGCAAGCAAACTTAGGGAAGACCATGACGGACATCCTGGAAACCGCGAAGGGGGGAACGTTCGAGGATTTGCTGGAGCAGCGGCGACCTGATCTCCAGGCGTACGAGCCACCTCAACAGCCTGGAGTGGAACCAGCTGACCAGGCACTTGAAGAACCCCCTGGAGGCGCCATGGACGAGGAGGCCGTACCTCCCGAGTCCTGGGCGACGACACCCCGCTCGATTGCCCAACCTGAGACTGAACCAGGAGAACTGCCGGAGGACTCCCCACTCCAGGACCCAGCTGCTACAGCAGGAGTCCGACCCCACGAGCCCTTTCCTCCTGAAGGTCCGGCACAGGTCGCACCAGAACCACCTCAGCCAGGGAGCTCATCATCATCATCATCATCATCATCATCATCATCATCATCATCATCAACGTCTGCGGCACCAACCACTGGCGGGCCTTGCTACCGAATGACTCATCGCGGACCTGAACCCGACCTGTTCATCACACCAGAGAAGCGACAGAAGGGGAACGACGGGGTGAATGACAAAAAGCTCTGGGCCGACCTACTACAGGAAAATGTTGAGATCACTCTCGGGGGCGATGAGCACAAGACGGCTCATTTCGAGCACGTGTAAAGCGAGGACACAAACAATCCGAACTCCAGGGAGCTAAGGGGGGCTACACCCTCAACAGCTTCATCGCCAACCAACGCCGCAAAGACAAGGTGGAACTCACGTGGTCCACGATGAACGCCACCGAGCGGAAGGAGTTCGAAGAGGCCATCACCAAGGAGACGAACAACTGGATCCAGCACGATGGGACTTCGACCAGTACCTCGCGCGCGGCCGCGGCGCCTCGGTCTGCTCCATGGCCACGCACCTCTAGCGCCACAGTTGGGCGCGGACAACCTGAATGAGAGCTTCGGCCTCACTCTTGGTCAGAGGCCTGAGGAGGCGAGCACGTCGTCTCCAGAGTCAAGGACACCGCCGACATCACTCGAGCGCGCTGGCTCTTCGCGCGGAGAGCCGACGGCCGAGCCAGAGCCCGCCTCGCGCTCCTGGGCTACCAGATCAAGGACCTGGGGAAGGAGCCGACTGAGAGCCCGACGGCATCACTGAAGGGGCCCCAGGACACACAAATAAATACACACATATTGAAATATTCCCCATATTTTCCCATATTTTCTGGGTTTCTGTCTTCCCCACCACTTCCCATATTTTCCCATATTTTCTGGGAATCGCCGATTAATTGTGTCTGTGTGTTTTTCCCCTCCTGAAATCACGCCGGGCCCGAAACGCGATGCTTACCATTGCCGCCGCCAACTACTGGAAGCTGATCAAAGGCGACGTCACCTCGGCCTTCCTGCAGGCCAACGAGCTGGACAAGGACCTCTTCATCGAGCGGGACAGGGTACTGCGGAAAGCGTTTACCGCCAAGGACGGGGAGTTGCTCCAAGTGGTCAAGCCTGGGTACGTCATCGGAGAAGACCCCCGTCATTGGTGGGAGACCGTGAAGATGGACGTCACGAAGCTGGGACTCCAGGCCAGCGAGCTCGAGCCATGCATGTGGAAGGTGCGCTGCTCGAAGACAGGCCGTCTCATCGGTCTGGCCATGACCCACGTGGGTGACTTCATCCTCGCCGGCGACAGAGACCACGAGGAGTGGACCAACATCGCGAAGCAGATCCGCAAGCTCTACAAGTAAGGCACCTGAGAGGATATGAACGATGGGATCAGCAGCCTCGAACAGCGCGGCGTCACCATCGAGGAGAATGAGAAAGGGTTCTTCCTCCACCAGCGGACCTACGCGGACAAGATTCACGAGGTTCGGCCAGTTGACTGCGGACGACACCGCCCCACGGACACCCTGCGGAAAAAAGACCAGACCACCCTGATGGCCTTCTGCGGCGAGGTCTACTGGCTGGGGGTCAACACAACGCCCTTCCTGCTCGCCTGGGTTGCCGAACTCCAGTCGAAGATCCCGAACGGCACGCGCAGCCTGTTCACCGCCGCGAACAGCATCGTGAAGCTGATCAAGCAGAACCAGCACATGGGCCTCCAGATACACCGACACGACCTGATCGACCTGGCGGTCGTCACGTGGTGCGACGCAGCATGGGCGAGTCGACCAGACGGAAATTCGCAAGGTGGCTACCTGACGGCACTGGCAGCGACCAAAGCAATGGATGGCGAAAAGGCGCAACTCACCGCGCTGGACTGGGGCTCGAAGAAATTGCGCCGGGTGGCGCGGTCGCTGGCAGCAGAAGTCCAGGAAGCTGGAGACGCTGAAGGCGCACAGTGTATGGTGCACATGGTGCTGTCAGAGATCCTCTTCAACAGGTCTCCCTTTCGGAAGAAGATGGCTCTCCTCCACGAGATCCCGGCGGTGCTCGCGACGGACTGCAAGGCGTTCTACGACGGCGCGGTACGGTTCCAGCCTGCGGGGTTGGGCTCGAGGAGCGTCGGACCGCAATCGAGGCGCTGGCGCTCAGGAGTGCCCTCGAAGAGCGAAAGACGCTAGCCTGGTGGGTCCACTCGCACGCTCAGATCGCGGACGGCCTCACCAAGGGAAACTGGCAGGCCTTCGGGGTGCTCAAGTTGTTCCTGGAGAAGCAGGAGTGGCGACTGATCTACGACGAGCACTACATGAGCGCGCGGAAGCGCGCAGCCCTCGGCATGGGTTTCTTCGACACGACAACACCCGAGGATGCCAAGACAGCAAAGGAGGTTCTTGAGCAGCGCCGACTGGCGCGACAGCAGGCCAAGATTCCCGACCAGCCCAGCAGTCACGACGCGTCCACCATGGAGGACAGCAGTTTCAGGAAGCAGAATAGCTTCCCACCGGGCCAGCTTGGCCCTACGCACGCGGCAGTTCTTTGTCCGCCTGCCTGAATGCAACGCAGAAATTTGGTATTCCATATTCGTTCATACCCATTCTGTCGTTGTGTTCGTGCATCTGCCGCGTCCGTGCCGCCGCCCATTTGGATCCAGGTTAGTGGGCGGGCGGGTAACATTTATACTGCACAGCTGAGTTCAGCAGAAGCTCGCGACGTCTGGCCGCGAGTGATTATATTACGAGGAGGGCAGCAGGTGCCCTACACAACCTGCGTGGAAAGATATCATACTCTTCATCTCCAAGTGTTGGGCCAAGGAGCAAGGTCACATCATCAGCGCGATTGAGGACCTCAAGAATTCAAACCCCCCAGCACGCGCGCAAGGGCGTTCGAATGATTTCGGAATGCGGCGCGAGAGGCTGTTTTGGCAGACTTCAATGGCAATGTTGAAACACCCCATGGTTTCCTTCAAATTCGCAAAAGCGCGAGCGCAGGCTTTTTTGAAAACTGGCCTTGCGAAACCATGTTCGCATGCGGTTTCGCGACACACGATTTTGAAATGCGCGCGAAAGCCAAATTGTTTGAAGGGTTTTCGGCACGCGCGCGACGACGCGCGCGCGGGCACTCCACCCGATTTGTTGTAAAGAGTTATCGCGACAGCACGCGCGCAAGGGAGTTCGAATGATTTCGGCACGCGCGTGCGAAGTCCTTGTGGTCGCATTCACTAACATGCTCCCTGTATAGTACTAAAAACACTGGTGGTAATGAAAAGAGAATGTTACTAAGAATAACAATACTAATAATAAGAATACTAATAATTATACTGATAATAATAAAAGTAATACTAATAATGATAATAAACAAAAGCTTTCTTCAGAAAGCACACGAGCGCACGCGCAAGTTTGGGTTGAAGATTCGCGCTGCGAAATCCTGCGTTTTCAAATGTTGTTTTGGACACTCGATTCGGAAAGCCTTGCGAAACCGAAGGTCGTTAGAACATTGCGGCACGCGCGCGCGACGACGCGCGCGCATGCAAGTCGTCCCACTTTGGCAAGGGACGAATTAAAACTGCTGGTGTTTGGTAAGCGAGTGAACCCGCAGAATATTTGTTTGCCAAGGATAACGGGAGGGGCGATGCTGACCTGGTTGTGAGAATACGAACTCATGTTTAGGATGGACGATTGGGGCATTATCACATGCAAACTGCCATACGACAAGGGGTACCGATAATCCCGGGGGCGTAGAAACTCGTTCTCTGCTTAGAAAGCAAAATTGACTGACCTGCACCGCGCTTGAACACCTCCCATGGCGACCTGTCACCGCGCTTGACCACCTCCCACGCACTTGACAACATCCCACCCACTCACCCGCAAGTTGGTTTGCAAATCCTCTGCGGCGGCGATGGCGACGAGTGCTTGCCGTTGGCTGGGGCATCTCTGCGGCCGCGCTAGCCCGCGCACGCTCGCGCTATCAGCGGCACGCGAGCTCGGCGCGACCGTCGCGGCCGCGGTGGCGCGGACCGCTGGGCGCACCTCAGCGGGCACTGCAGTGCGAGTCGGCGACTTGGGCGGGCGCGGTATTATGGCGACGCCGATAACGGTAGACACGATTATGAGAGCCGCGACGGTGACGAAGGTGGCGATGACGACGGCAAAGCCAATCACAGCGCCGACGCGGATCGCGCCGACTACGACGACGGCGCCTTCGCGTCGGCAACGAAGGTCGACGAAGGTTTTGGGGAGAGTTCGACACGCGAGCGCAGCCGACGCGCGAAAGGAGCCGCATGGCACAAACGGATCGCGCCCCCCGCCCCCCCCCTCCGGCACGCGCGCGATGGCGCGCCAGTGACTTCGGCGCGCGGCGCGAGAAGCCCCTTCTGCAGAATGCAATGAAGACGTTGAAAAACCATGGTCTTCGAAAAAATCGCAAGAGCGTGGGCGCAGGATTATTTGGAAACTGCCGTTGCGAAACCATTTGTTCACATGGTTTCGAACGCTCGGCTTTGAAATCCATGCGGAACGGAAGGTGTCCAAAGGATCTCGGCACGCTCGCGCGACGACGCCCGCGCGCACTGCGCCCCACGTTTTGCAATGGGCTCTCGCGACCGCACGCGCGCCAGGGCGCCCAGGCGATCTCGACGCGCGCGCGCGCGCGAAGCCCGCGCAGTAGCAAGTTATGCAAATGTTGAGAAACCTACGATTTCATCAATAATTCTGAGAACGGCGCGCGAAAGCTTGGTTCTGAAAACCAGCGCTGCGAAACGGTATGTTTATATGCTTTCTTGGATACTCGACCTTGGAATCCTCACGAAACCGACGGTCTGGGATGGGAGTCGGCACGCGCGCGCGACGACGCGCGCGCGCGATGTTCGCCCCATTCTTCGCGATAGGGTTCCCGAAGAACTGATGATTGTAAGATAAACGAGCGCGCGCGCCTAGCATCTGCCGCAGAGGATGGCGGGGGGGGGGCGACGCCGGCCCCCCTGGGGGGGCGCGAATTCATACTTAGGACGGACGATGAGGAAAATTAGTCTCTGTTCGCAGCAAGGCGCCCAGTCCACTGCTCGCGCAATCACCCCGCCCACCCACGCAACTCGGTCTGCAAAACCCACGCGGCGGCGATTGCGACGAGCGATTGGCGCCGGCGCGCTGGCCCGCGCACGCTCGCGCGCGCGGCGGCCAAATAGTTTGACGCGACCGACGCGGCCGCGGCGGCGCTGACCGCTGGGCGCATCCCAGCGGGCACTTCAGTACGAGTCGGCGACTTGGGCCAGCGCGGCACCACGGCAACGACGACGACGGCACACGCGATGACGATGGCAGCGACGCTGGCGACGACGATGACAACGACGACGGCAAGGCTGGCGACGGCACCGGCGCTGATCACACCCGTCCACGACGATGACGGCGTCTTCGCGTCGGCGATGAAGATCTTGGAGGGAGTTCGACACACGCGCGCGCGCGCGCAGCCAACGCCCGAGCGGGTCGCGCGGCATCATTTGACGCGGATCGCGCCCCCACCCCCCCCCCAGCACGCGCGCAAGGGCGCGAGGGGCCCGCTGGGCAGACTCTGATGAACATGTTTTGTACATATATATATGTATATATATACACATATATATATATGAAAAATTCGCGGCAGCGCGAGCGCGGGCATTTTTGAAAACCGATGTTGCAAAACAATATGGCATATGTTTTCGGGACACTCGGTCTTGACATCCTTGCAACACCGGAGGTGTTTGATGGATTTGGGCACGCGCGCGCGACGACGGGCGCGCGCATTTTGCCAAATTTCTTGCAACGATTGTCTGCGACAGGACGCGCGCGAGGGCGTTCGAGCGATTCCGACGTGCGCGCGCGAGAGGCCCGTTCGGCAGCCCGTCACGAGAACCATGGAAAACTTTGGTTTTTTGTTTTGAGAATTCGCATGAACCCGAATGCAAGCTCCTCTTGAAAATCATAAGTGCGAATTCATTGGTCTATGTTTGTTTCCGGGGCACTCGATTTTGAAATTCGCTCGAAACCTAGGGCGTCATGCCCGCGCGACGACGCGCGCGCGTGCCCCTCGTCCCATTGTTTGCCAAGGATGAGAGCAGGGATGAACATGAACGATACTGGTTCAGCCGGGATGATAGGGATTCATTCAGGGCGAACGACGGGGCATAACCACATGCACATTGCAATACGACAAGGGAGTCCATTAAGAGAGGAGAACCTAGATGGGGCATTCAATGTGGCGCAATCGAGGTTGTGCTATCCAGGCGGTGCAACTGACTACCCTGCACCACGCTTGACCACCTCCACTGCTCGCGCAAACATCCCACCCACCCACCCGCAACTTGGTTTGCAAAACCCATACGGCGGCGATTGCGATGAGTGCGTGGCGTTGGCTGGTGCATCTCTGCGGCCGCGCTGGCTCGCGCATGCGCGAGCGCGTAGCGGCCAGCTAGCTTGGCGCGACCGACGCGGCCGCGGTGGCGCTGACCGCTGGGCACATCCCAGCGGGCACTTCAGCGCGAGTCAGCGACTTGGGCGGGAGCGGTATTATGGCAACGTCGGCAACGGTAGACGCGATGATGATAGTAGCGACGCCGGTGAGGATGCTGACCGCGCCAACCCAAGCACCAGCGCGCAGCGGCAAGCTGGGTTGGCGCAACAGACGCGGCCGCGGCGGCACTGACCGTGAACGCATCCCAGCGGGCACTTCAGTGCGAGTCGCCGACGTGGGCGGGCGCGGTATCATGGCAACGTCAACAGCAGTAGACGCGACGATGAGAATAGCATGTCGGTGGTGATGTTGACAACGACGACGGCGCGGCCAGCGCGGGCGCCGATGCTGATCACGCCGACGACGATGACGGCGTCCTCACGTGTCGGTGATGAAGGTTTCGGAAAAATTCGACACCCGCGCGCGGCCGACGCGCGAGATTGGCCGGCATGGCCTTATTTGACACGGATCGTGCCCCTCCCCAGCCCGCGAGCAAGGGCGCGCGAATGATTTCGGCATGCGGCGCCAAAGGCCCGTTTGGCAGAATTCCATGAACATGTTAAAAAGCCTATGGCGTTCTACAGAATCCGCAAGAGCGCGAGCGCACGCTTTTTTGAAAAACTGATGGTGCGAAAACATGTGTTTAAAATGTGTGTTGGACACTCCGTTTTGAAATCGCTACGAAACCTACGGTTTTCGAAGGATTTCGGCATGCGCGCGCGACGACGCGCGCGCGTGCACTTCGTAGTTCAGCAAAGGGTTTTCGCCACGGCGCGCGCGCAAGGGCGCTCGAACGATTTCGACATGCGCGCTCGCGAAGCACGTTTGCATGAGGTTACGAAAATCATGAACGACCTATGGTTTTCTTAAAAACCCAATGTGTTTATATGTTTTTTGGACACTCGATTTTGATATCTTTCCGAAACCGAAGGTGCGTGAAGGATTTCGGCAAAACGGGTCCTTGCAAACTGATACGTGTTGATAAAC